CAGATGACGATTCATTCAACCAACCAACAAGATAACAACAGGTCGAGAACACTGTTCATGCATCCCATGAACCAAGATGATCTGATGATAAAACATAAAAGCACGTTTAATTTAATTAGTTCTGGTTTAGAATTTGAGATACCCGGCTAGATTCAATGCATCAGTCAGCTTATTCAAACTCAGAGAGCTGTAGAGTTTGAAGTCCTGCCCTTTGAACAATATACCAAGAAGCAACGAATTAAGCCACGATGTATGTATGCCTCAGCGATGGTGATTGAGACCCAATAGCCCAATATAATAACAAGTACAACCGTAGACAATTCAAACTCTATATTTTTGTATTGAACACTAATAAAGTAATCTTTGAAGGAGAGATAACATAATGATTGAAGTGGCTAAAGTAATGACTTATTATTTTGTGAGATATTAATAACTCATTCAGCTTTCAGGTTCACAGTTCAGCGACGTTGTTGGAAAAGGTTTTTTTTTTTTTTAATATTTTCTTCATCATTTTTTTATTATCTCTTTATTATGTTTACCTAATTCAATAACTATTTGTCAATTGTCTTAGTTGGCTCTGAGACTTGAGTCACGTTGTCAACCCATTTGGTCACCAGTTTGTCTTTTCGCCCAAAACAATATTAAGGTCAACTGCTCTTATGCTCCCAATGGGTTGGATGTTTGGGTGGACCTGAGTTAACATTTTACACTGTTTCAGGTTCAGGCTTCGGGTTGGTGCCAATCCATTTCAATGATAGTCCAGCATGCACTAGTCGATATGGACTGAAGGTTCAACTTTTTAAGCATACAGAAGACTTTCAAAAAACACTTGTATAAAATCTATAGGAAAAACTTGGCATCGTTAATAATATTATGTATTCATTATATTAAATAAAAATGTGTGATAGATGAGAATTATAATTATTAGTAATGAAATGGCTAAAAATACAAGAAGAGAGAAGAGAATTGATATCCAACTTGGGTAGGCCTAACCCGAGCCAATTCGACCTAACCTGAATTTTTGTACAGGTTGGGCCTGCATTTTTGAGCCACATGTTGGGCCTAGGCCCAAAAACTCAGGCCTGGTTTGAACATGGGTTAGGCTTGGATAGCTTGAGCCCAACCCAACCCAACCTGCACCCAATCCAATTTGAGCTCATCCAAAGAAATACATGCATGCATACATACATACATAGTTATATATCCATGTATCTTAGGGGTGCAACTTGGGTGGGTCCAACCCACCCCATGTTTTTGCACGAGTTGGACCTAAGTTCAATTAGGGTTGTGAGTTGGGCCTGGACCAGATAACTCAGGCCATGTGTGTGTGTGTGTATAAATAACAAATTACTACCATGTATTTTGAGGTAGTGGCAATTACCCCCCCTCCCCACCCCAAGCTTTCATTTGCGACGAAGAGCCCTTGAACTTTCAGATTTCAACAAAGGCCTCCTCCATTAGTATTAGTATTCTATAAGTTAATTTTGAAGGGGATTCTCATGTGACTATTTAAACTTTTCTAAATTCTCAAATTACCATTTTCTTAAGGGAAATTGTCTAAAACTCATAATGAATTTTTAACATTTCTCTTAAACTTACCACAACTTTTCAAAATGTCTAAAACTCACCATGTCACTAACTTGACGTTAAACAGACTAACGGGTGTTAATATATTACCATTTTAATATTTAGACATGAAAAAAGGAAAAAATTCAAAAAATATTTTCAAATATAAAATAGATAAAAACATAGAAATTACAAAAAATATAAAAAATTTTAGAAATTGCAACCAAAATAAAAATTACTTTCAGATTATAGAAACTATAGAAATTGAAAATCAAAATCAGAAAATAAAAGTTGTAGAAAAAACACAAAAATTATAGAAAAACACAGAAATTACAAATAAATAACAAAAAACACAGGAAAATTTATAGATTGTAGAAAATAAAAAATGTAAAAAAAATAGAAATTATAAAAAATATTGGAAATTATAACAAAACACTAAAAATGCAAAAAAACAATAAAATTGAAAATTGAAAAAACCATTTTTCCTCTAACTCGCCATTCAAGGGTAATTTAGTCATGAAAATTGTTATTTATGCTGACATGGACACCTCTGTTAAGAAGCATTAGCAGTGCACCAACGGAAGGTGAGTTTTGGAAAATAAAAACTTACTGAGCTAAATGTGCAAGTTTTCATAGAAGTTTCTTATAAGTATCAAATCAAATGGTTAAACTTTTTCTAAATTAAAATGATCTATAGGTTGTGGTATAACTCCAGTTTTAATCAAAACCCATTCAACGTTGATCCCAATTCTTAAGAAATCCAAGGGGAAATTACTGATATAGACACTTCTAAGTTTCAAACTTGAATAGGAAAGTGAAATAAAATATTCCCAAAATTTTTTCTCCTACTGAAACTTGAACCCACTAGATCCTCTTTCTATTCAATTTTTACCCAACTACTCCTAAAATTGCTTTTCATACATCTAAGTAGAACTCCACTAATTATTAATATTATTGTTTAGTATAGAAATTCACAAAAAAAATCAAGTAGTTTGTTGCCTCATTTTTCCTTTATTTGTGTTTTTATTTATTATGAGCATTGGGAAATAGCCCACTTCATGTCTAACTGTTGGAGCTGCTACCCATCTTTGGATAGAAAAGGGAGTGATGGGACTTTCAGTAATTGAATTTAAATAGATTTTGGATTTATAATGACTCCAAACACATAATACTACATAATACAAATATATACTACATAATACAAAATACAAGGTTTTGCATTCTACATATTTGTATTTTACTCCTTCCAAACTGAGCTAAATGTGCAAGATTATAATAGCTTGCATTACTTAATTTTGGTAAACATCCAAAATGTGCAAGAACATGATAGCTCATGGACCAAGGTAAACTTCCAAAATGTCCAAGATCATGATAACTCACTCCTAGTGTTGATGGACTGAGTCTTGTACTTTGGTAAACTTCCAAAATGGGCAAGAACATGATAGCTCATTCCCAATGCTGATGGGCTGAGTTCGAGAAGCACTCTCAGGCTTTGATAAGCTTACAAAATATGCAAGAATATGCTAACTTATACTGCTATCAACATTATTATTATCACCATTATTGATTTACTTATTTTATTTATTATTTTAAGAGACAAAACATGTTTGATATTAGACCTGGTGATAAAGTTTAACCGAATTGTTATCATCTAGCTAGCAGGGATAATCCATTAAACATGACAGTCAACAAGGCTCACTTTAGATTGTCTCTCTCCACAAACAACCCTTGAAAGATTTGGGTTGGAAACAGTATTGGGATTCCTCCTTCACCCCTCTCTTGGTTCCACTCCATTACTTAGGTCAAAACTCAAATTGGAAAGAGCTGTGCATAGAGCTCGTCCAGGTAGGGGTGTCAATTGGACTGGATTTGGTCCAAGTCAATCCAGTTCAATGTGAGTTTATTATAAATGGATTAGGTCCAATCTAATTCAATGAATATTTTGGACCATTTTGGACCGGTCCAATTCAATGTCTGGACCGTTCAATCTGTTCAAATTCATGTTAATTTAAATTGGTTTCAATCCAAATCCAGTCAATTGACACCTATATTCTTATCTTATATCAATGGATCAGATATTGACTTAATCTAACCCAATACAATATAAATTTATTACGGACGGACCAGGTCCAATCCAATCTAATAAATAATTTGGACTGGGTTGGTCCTATCCAACATGTCTTGTTGGTCTGTCCAATCCGTCCAAATTGATTTTGGACTGGACGGGGTCGAGTCCAAAATCGGTCCATTAACACCCTTACAGCCAGGAGTCTGAAATAAGGGTAAAGAGGATTAAATGTCAGTGCTAGAGATCATTCTTCTTCAAGCTGAACTCCAACAAGTGGGGTGGTACTGGGTTCCCCCATGGTTCAAAGTATCGATACGATATGCCCGATATGGGGTGTATTGTATCGTATCTTTTGAAAAAGATATGATCCGAAATACCTGTTTCCAGGTGTTTTGGACCCCCAATTTTTTTGAATAATAAAAAGCATGCTAAAAGCTTCCCAAAAAACCAAAATGTAAAAAAAAAAAAACTAAAAAAATAAAGTTTCGGCCGTTTCTAAGTACCGATACGAGTCCTATCATATTAATACTTTGAACCTTTACTACTTCCCCCTTCACACCTCTCGTGGAGTCAACAATCTACTTAGGGAAGATGGCATCAACAACAGATGCCTAATCCCCTTCATTCCCTAGCCGAAGCCTTGGATAAACTTCTGAAAAAGACAAATAGAACAAAGGCCTTAGAAATGATAGTAGCAGCTTAGAGACTTACCTATGCTTGTATTGCAATGAGGGAGGATGAGAACCTTCGATGGAGAACTCAATGTGCCTGAACTCTTTTGGGTCATTATGGATCACACCTTCCCTCTAGCGTCCTTCACCTCCAATGCTCAATGTTGAAAACCTGGCCGGAGATGCTATATGGAGAGGAAACCAACAATGTTGGTTTGGTGAAGGAGGACCTGTTCGAACTGTTCACGGTCCATTCATGCAGCCCAACCGTAAGGCCATGGCTTCCGCCATCTTCGCCGAGTTGGGCCCTTATGCTTTTGCTCTTATGATGGGACATTGCAGAAGCCTTTTCTAGTAATTTTAAAAGACTAAGGGGCCATTCAATAACAGTTGAAATAGCTGAAGCTTTGGATTTTAGTGAACAAGTTTTTAAGCAAATTGTGGGGGTCCTACATGGAGGAAGGATTAGCTGAATTCAATAGCTATTCAACGGCCTGTAAAGCAGTTCAAGAGAGTGGTTGCCTGTGGGTCCTAAGACGGCTGAGGTCATAACTCAGAACTCAAGGAGTAATACATTTTGACCACGTGATTTCTGTTCGAGTTTTGACCTTTTGAGCCTTTGTCCGAACACCAGAGCTTCCCCAAATCCTTCGGGAAAACGGTTATAAGAGCCGTTTAAACGGAAATTTAAAATTCCCCGGAAAACAGCAAACCAACCAGAAAACCTCAGACTCAGAGCATGGAGGATCCCTTCCGGGCATGGGAGACGCAGAGAGCGACGAACTGGCCAGAAGCTCCCTCAGTGAACCAGAGCGCTTTTACTCGATACACGACACTCACCCAAGAGTTCCGGCCGAACAATCCGGTCTCTGTATCTAACCGTCCCAACTGTAACAAGAGAATCATAGAGTTACTGAGAGCGATCTCAAATGCAAGGAGCAAAAGCAGAGAATCTGAGACGGATCGTTGCTACAGACATATGATCAGTGAGCGTGTCAGGAGAGACAAGCAGAGGCAGAATTATGAAGCTCTGCATTCCATCCTGCCCCCTGGCACAAAGGTATTCCTTGTCTGTAACTGGGTGTGAATTGTTCTTGCAAAATCTCTGAAGCAGCTTGAAAACTATTGTAATATGTAGTGGGTATCTTATTTTCTGTTGGAATTTTGAAGTTTCAGTGGTATTATCTCTTGATCAACTTTGCGTCGTATTCTGCTATTCTTCCCCTGTAGAATGAGAAAATCTCCATTGTTCGAGCTGCGACTTCGTATTTACAAGATCTGGAGAAGCTGAAGGAAGAACTAGAAAAGCAGAACCACGAGCTCGGAGTGAGCTTAGCAGGGAAGGCCGACCAGACGCAGGATTCAACCAAAAAGATTAGATTACAGGTTTGCAATCCATCTTCGGCAATCGATTCCATGGTTTGGGTTCTTAGATGGTTGAAGAGTATGAACTTGAAAGCAAGAAAGATCGAATCGAAGTTCTCTGTGCAGGAGTTTTCAGCAGTTTTGGAAATCGAAACCGAGGTGGGGTGTTCAAAAATTGAACTTCTTATTAAGAATCATTCTTCTTCCTCAGATTACAAAAATATATAGTGTTTCTTTCTATTTGGATGAATTTATCTCTTAAATTTTGCCAAAATTTTAAAATATTTTGGGAGTCCAACTATGGTTCATTTAGGAAGAATTCAACCAATCATGTTAAATATGTCACATGGATTATTTGATTTTTCATTAATTCACGTTTCACACGTCAATACTTTAACAACATTCAAGATGTCAGCCGTGAACATGTGATTATTCACTTAATATTAGAACTTCCAGTTACTTTATTATTATTATAATATGAAATCTGAGATTTTCTGTCATCTTTGATTCTTAGCTTTGAATGTCTGTCTGGGACTTATCTTGCCTGCACTTTTCCAACTTTCTGTGAGTCCTATTGTGATAGATCGAAGCAGCGGCTGTGGAAAACGCCATGCAGTGCGCTCTGATGGAAGTTGAGAGGAAGCTGGCAGTTGATTTTGTTGAAAGGGAAGAATACAGTGGGTCACATTAATACAACTCATGATTGAAGACAGTTTTGATCAATTAAAGCAAGTTGAAATATTATTATATGTTGACAAAGAGAAGAAAGACGAGAGATGTTTTATATTTTTAGCATATGAAGATTGTGTTATTAAATTCTTTCTTTTTTCATGCCGTCTTTTGGGCTTTTTAAAGCTTAGAAGACCAACATTTTGTCTCTTTCTATTTGGCAATGAAAGACAAAACCCGTGCCCCAAAAAGTTCGCAAAAGCCCAAATTAGCTGAAAATTTTTATCTTTTGTACCCAAAATCTTTTTAGGGGTTCTAGTAGACTAAGAGGGGGCTATAATTTTAGATTTCTGAGGTGGACTTCAGTTTACTATCCCAATCTTTTATTTAATAGTTTGGTAGGCCAGAGTATTTACCAAATGGTGGACCATAAATCTTTAAATACAAGACCCCAAAAGCTTATTACATCTTTTAGCCATTTGGACTGGTGGAAAATCTTCCTAAAAAGATTTGCTAAATGGTACCTCAAATGTGAAATAAAAAGGGGGATTTTAGTTGATAAGGGCAACTTTTGGGCCCTAATATCAATAAAAATAATCTTTTTAACATAATTTTTAGAATAGGCTAAGTAGGGGCAGAAACAATGTTCATCTACTTCTTCCTCCAGACCACCAAACAAGTCTTCCCACCTCTCTCTCTCTCTCTCTCTCTCTCTCCCCCTTCTTCTTCTCTACATTTGAGTTGTTCCAAAGCAGTTTGAAGAATACATGAAACACCGTACCAGGTACATGAATTGGCAGTTTGGTTCCAGCTAATAAACCTATTAGAGGTATCTAAAACAGTTTTGAACTTCATTAAAGCTTGAACATCAGGATTGGGGGATATTTGTTCGGTGGTTTGAAGGAGGAAGGAGATGAATAGTATTTCTGCCCCTATTTGATATTTAAAAAATAATAATATATTTTAATAATTATGTTAAAAAGATTATTCTTATTAATATTAGGATCCCAAAAATTGCCCTGGCGGGTTCACTTGATCTGAACCCCACCTGACACCCAATCAAGATGGATTAGGTCAAGGCGGGTTTACTTCATTGATATGGCCTACTTCATTGCATCATTTACATGAATTTCTCAGAAATAAAAAGATAAAAGTAAAATTTAATTAAATTACAATACAATCTCTGTGCCCTTTTGTACTGCACATTTGGTAGCATCATTTTAATAATGTGCGGGGCTTATGTTTTAAGCTTGGAACCTAGGTTGGGCTGGACCTAGACTATAGCAATCAAATCTGGTGCACTGCACATCAGACTTGGAACTACTATTTAATAGCCCTTTTATTTCAATTAATAGAGGCAATTTAAAAAGGGATGCCATGTTTCATTGAAATCTTTCAAAAAAATAAATAAATGTTATAATGATACATGTTCTATCATATTTAGATTTGGTTCCTTTAATTATTATTTCATGTCGCATAACTATAGTTAATTTTTCTTTTTGTAAATTCTGTTCCCTTTGAATGGGAGGAAAATTTACATTTACAATGGTGTATGTGAAGGTGAGGATACATTTCTTTTATATTAGGTGAATTTTAATGGGAGGATGAGGTGGCATCTATCCACATAAATGGTTTCTATGGTTCAACAATGACTTACAATATCAAATGTCTTAATGGTGTTTTGTCAAAGTACACATTTGTCCCTAAGAAATTCAATGATTAAGGGGAAATTTATGTCCAATGAAAATTTCAGAAAATTACAATATTAAATGTCCTAATTATGGTGTTTTGCTGAAGTACACATTTGTCCCCAAGAAATTCAGTGATTAAGGGGTAACTTATATCCGACAAAAGTTCTTGAAAATTACAATATTAAATATCTTAATTATGGTGTTTTGTCAAAATATACGTTTGTCTCCAAGAAATTCACTGATTAAGGGGTAATTTATGTCCAATAAAAATTTTAGAAAACCAAATGGGTTCTAAACAATAGGAACCGGTTCCAATACAATTATTAATGAGGACAAAACAACAGAACCTGAGATAATCAAGGTTGGATTGGTACCTTATAGGCGCTCTACATACACATCTCAATTTGCATTGTGAACATCTCCGGTACTTGTCATGGAGAGATGTTCCCAATACACAACTGGGATGGGCTGTGGGGTGTTGATATGAATTTGACATTATCACTTTAGTCAATTCGGTTTTATTGGGTTGACCCGTCCCATTAACAGTCGTACTTAATAAATGGGAACAGATTTTGGATGTGTGGCTGTAATGTCATGTGGTGATATGGATATCATTATTAGATTGACTCAAATTGTTGGGTTGGGTCCTTTTGAAATTGAGAAATTGTCTAAAATTCACCATGAGTTTTCAACATTTTTCTTGGGCCCTGTTTGATGATTAAGTACTTATTAAAAGAATTACTTATTTTAACAACCCTTTAGGTTGTTTGGTAATTCACTTTTCAAATCACTTATTATGTTTTTAAATACTTATTCGGGTGGAAATGTTTGGTAAACTACTTTTTCCGTAAGTGATTATATTTATTCAAATGACATTTTAGCCCTCACTTCACTTATACATATATACAATACTTTTCACATGTTATATTATACATTGATCCAATTAATAATAATAATAATAATAATAATAAATTATCATAATAATAATAAAAATAATAATTATAAATAATATTAATAACTAATATTAACAAATAATGAATAATATTGATAAATAACAAAATACTGCCAGAAAGTACTTTTAAGGAGCAATTTTCACAAAATACTTCTAGAAAGTATTTTTAAAACACAATTTTCACAAAATACTTCCAAAAAGTACTTTCAAGGCGCAATTTACACAAAATACTTCAAGAAAACACTTTCGAGGCGCAGTTTACACAAAATACTTCCAGAAAGTACTTTCGAGGCGCAATTTTCATAAAATACTTCTAGAAAGTACTTTTAAGGCGTAGTTTTTACAAAATACTTACAGAAAGTGCTTTTAAGACGCAGTTTACACAAAATACTTACTGAAAGTACTTTTAAAACATAATTTTCACAAAATACTTCCAGAAAGTACTTTTAAGACGCAACATCCCACAACATATCCCCGCCGTATATTGAGAATATCTCCCGATGATGACATCATTGATTCTGATATTATCATTGGGAGATATTTCCAATACACGGTGGAATGTGCTATGGAACATTGTGGGGCACAGATGTGAATTCAGATAATAGGGGTCGACTTACATAAATAAATCTTGTTCCTCCATTTTTCTCTATTTAACGGCAATGCAAGAACATCTACCGATGCTTTGTTGTACCCCCAATAAAACACGGACGCATCAACAATGGGGCAATTGTTTTTAATTCAGAAAACTGAATAACTTATTTTCTTTTTCTTTTTCTTTTCCTTATTTGACAGATCGTGTGTTCATTTCTAATTCTGTCCTAGCTATTTTTTGTATGGGCAATGGAGGTTTTGACTGTGTGGGAGTGGTTTGGTGCTGTGTGAGGCGGTGAGGAGGGAGTTGGAGAAAGAGGGAGGGAATACTGTGTAGGGGCAGTGAGGAGGGACGTGGAGAAAAAGAGAGGAAATGAGAAATCTAAGTTGTGCAGAGCCAGGGATGAAACTTGGATTGTTTCTTCATGGAGGCAGCAATTAAACCTGAGTTGTGCAGGAAGAATGAAACTTCGAAAGGATCAGTTGGGTTTTTTATCAGAGGAGAAACTCCATCTCGAAGCAAAGCTCCCCTGAAACTTGCCCGAAACTAGAGCTCGCCTGAAGTAAGGTTGGCTGCATGCATCTCGGACCAAATCTTGCTTGAAACTAGAAGTCACGTTGGGATCTAAATCCACAAGTAGTGATTCCTCTGCAAGAAGGACGCAGACGGAGAGGAGGCGGAGGTGGAGAGAGACCAAAACGAAGACTGAGACGGAGGCGGAGGTGGAGACAATAATAGAGCAGTGATATGCTTCTTATCTTCCTGAAATTTTTTATAGGTTAGGTTTTATTTTGAAATTTTGAAAAATAGTAGATGGTAAATTTGATATTTTATTTTTTCATTAGTACTTAAAAATGTCAATTGTCAAAAATAACAGGGGTATTTTAAGACAATTTCTAAACAATAAGGATAGAGTTAACCAATTAACTAAATCATAAGGATAGTTTCAAAATTTTGCGTATGTGACCATCACATTAATACATATTCTTTTTGCACCCTTAATTACTAGCTTCCCTTTCCAGTAAACAAAAGATACCATAAGGTTACTTCAAGTTCTGTTGCAGGTTCCACTTGGGTTGCTTTTAGTGGCCTAGTCATATAAGTCATTCTTGCTTTGGTTTCCAAATTCCAAGGATTGTAATGTTTCTTGACTGTATTGAATGTTTTTAGGGTTTGAAAAAGTATATCAGTTCTTTTTCACCATGACACTACACGTTGATGAATAGAAATTGGGATCTGCTCCCAACACCGATCAAGAAGCCACATCCCACCTGTATATTAGGAACATTTTCCATAATCTATGTATCTATCTATAGAGCAAGACGGTCCATGCCATCATGCCTCTCCTTGTTCTATTACCCTAACCCTCATTCCTGTATTCTCCTAGACTCTCTCTCCTATCTCCTTCCCACCACTCCAATTTTGCCAATTCAACACTCTTTCTCTCAATTCCTTAATTAACTCAATATATTACCTATAATATCTCTCCTTTCTGTCCCCACAATTATTCACGTCTCTCACTCTCTTTACCCACATAACTAATCTCCTTAATTAGCTCAACTCTCTCTCTCTCTATCCATGTAACTATTCTCCTTAATTAGCTCAATTCTCTCTCTCATGATGCCATGTCACCACCCTTCTAATATTGGTAATCAAATAACGTCCATTACATTTCCATATTAGGATAGTTTATCTCATCAGTGAGATATGCATCCCATAGAGTAGAGCCAGTTACAATTCCTTACAAAATTGGATAGAATATTTTGGGAAGATTTTGAACAATCTTCCATTTTCATATTTTCCTCTTCCATTGCCAAGAACAATATGAGTTGCATTAAAATCTTGATTCAAAACCTTGCATACCTCATTCTTGTGTTGTATAACACTAATGATTTACATAATTAACACTAATCAATTTAATTAGCTTTATTTACATAATTAATAGTAAAATGGTTAATTATAAGTTTCCATAATAATTACTTAACTTACACTAATTAATTTACTAAATTTCTAACACTTTAAACCTTTACTTTATTAGGTTGCTTAATTAAACTTAGATTGTTTAATTAACAAAATTACTTTGGGATGGCAATTTTCCCCATCCTCGTTGGGTACTCAACCTCCCCGACCCAATGGGGAGGGCGGGGATGGGGATTAATAGGGATCCCTAATTGGGGATGGGAATGAGGATGGAGAGTGAAGTCTCTGCCTTGCCGCGACCCTGATTATATATTAAATATTATTTACATTATATATACATTAAAATATATTAAAAAAATTATTTATATTTTAAAATTTTCCTCTACTTTAAGTGAATCTATTTTCCTAAAATACTTTTGATTAAAATTTTTAATTAACTTTAATTACATAATTAACAGTAATTTGGTTAGTTTCATTATTTTACTTAATTAAGAAATGAAAAGAAAGGGTGCTGAATTAACAAAATGGGAGTGGTGGGAAGGGGAAAGGAGGGAGAGTTAAGGAGGAAGGGGATTTGGAGAAAGGAGAGGGTAGTTGACGTGGACTGCTTTTCTTTATGTATGGTATAGATTATTTACATTATATATATATATCAAAATGTATTTAAGATATTATTTAAATTTAAATTATTATTTATTTTAAGTAAACTTATTTTCCAAAAAATGCTTTTAATTAAAAAATTTTGGTGATTCGGGTCCCCACGGAAAACTTGTCTTCATCAGGGATCAGGGATGGAGGGTAACTTCTTATCCCTAGTAGTGGTCAGGGTTGGGATGGGGATTCGTTTCATAATCGGGATTGGGGATGGGGAATATGGTCTCTTCCCTGAACCCGCTCTATCTCCATTCAATTACTTATCATAAACAGTAATTTACTTATTTTACTATTAACTAACAACAATCATTTAAATTTAATTACAAATTAATAATATTTATTAATAATAAATATGGTTTAATTAACCTTAAATTAATAGTAACAATGCATTTATTATTTTACTGTGGATTACTTTCCTTTGATCTTATTATTTGGTTTTCAAATTTTACCGTGAATTGCATAGGCCTTGCTAGTAATAATAATATACAATTACGAGAGATGTGCCCAATGTTCAACTAGAGGAGTAGATCCGGATTCGATGAATAGGGGTGTCAAGGGGTCAGGTTTGGTAAGATTTGGCCCTATCCAACCCCAACCTAAAACCACCACGGTCCTACGTAGCTCCAATAATCAAAATTGAATTATTCAAGCTGACCTGACTTGATCAGTGAACTTTACAACTCTACTTAGCCAAGGTATGTTTATAAAGCTGTATTTGGGAAGAGTGTAAATACAAATATGTCTAGTGCAAAAGGTTGTACATGTCCAAATTTGTACTCTTCCCAAATTGAGCTTTGAAAGAGTGCAAGTACAGCATAAATAGATACAAAATGCAAGGTTTTATACTCTACATATTTGTATTTTATATTATTTTGGATGTATTTGCACTATAGATATTTGCATTTGTACTCCTTCCAAACCGAGCTCAAGTTTCAAATGGTGTCATGCCAATAGGTAGGGTTTTGCCGACTTAAAACCAAATGAACAAGATGTTTCATAATTCAATTATGCCAAGTTATGTTAGATCTATGGATTTTTCTTAAAAGAATTGGAAAAAATTGAAAAGTACAAAAAATAATTTCTTATATATTTTAAGTGATTATCATAAGAAAAAACTATAAGATGGATCAAATTCACTCATCTAATAATAACAATTTAATCTGTCTATTGTAATGAATTTTTAGTAAATTGGAAGCTTAAAATTTATTTTGATGAATTTTTAGTGTTGGTTGTAATGTATCCTTTGGTATGAATCATTAACCTCAACATTTTTATACATTTTACACCTTATTCATGGTTATTTCAACCTTTGATTTGGTATTTATTGATGTATTTGTAGGATTTGAAAAGTTTTTTTTTAATGTTTAAGCATATTCATATGAAGGTTCAAAATATTGATACAGCTTTTGATGTTTTTTTTTTTTTTTTTTCGCAATCGGTTCAAGGGGGGCCGGTTTAGGCTCCTTCACCCCTGAACCGGTTAGACCCTAATACACCCACTGTAGAGACGTATCAAAAATGTCCCGAAACGATACGTATCAATACTTTGAACCTATAAATTATATCTTTCCATCATATGTATCACGTATCCATATCCAAATCTACTAATGTGATATGTGATACTGATGTTTTTATCATATATGATAATAAAGGGGTCATTGGGTCAACCGATCATTTGATCCATGACCCGATGGCAAAATCATTTTTATTAATAATAAAGTATAAAATGACAAAAAAGTGAAAACATTTGAATATGAAAAAATTGCATTCATTTTGGTGGATAAATAAATAGTAAGTACACAACCTTAATTTGGGTGGAATGCTATGCACATGCAAGGTAAAGGGATGTGCCCAAACGGCCAAACCTTTTGGCTCAGCCCAGTCCGAAGATCGAAAATCTAAGCCCACGGTCCGGACCGGATCGGCCGATCCAATTCTCACCCCAGAAAAGGAGAATTTCCTCCCTCTTACTCTTACAGCCTTACAGCCTTACAGCAGGGAGCGAAAATTAACAACGCATAGAGAGATCCAAATAATACGAAGACTGAAAACTCCACTTCTCTCTCTCTGTCTCGCACTGTTCCTCTTTCTCTTTCTGTGAGTTTGTTGTTTAGGTCAATGGTTTACATTAGCTCGTGGGACGAATTCGCGGAGAGATCCATACAATTGTTTCGTGCGGATCCCCAATCTGTATCCTGCGTTCTTACAGTTATCCTAAGATTTTTTTTTTTTTTTAATTTAATGAAGAGATATTTTGCTTATTTTAATTTTAATTCTTCTATACTATTTTTTTCTAGATTTTTATCTCTTAAATGGTTCCCTTGATTCAGTTTTGTGTTAAATTTGGGATATAGTCGCGGTATGTGATGAAATACAGGCACTGCGACGGGAAATTGGTCCTCAAAGTTACCGATAATCGAGAGGTATGGATATATTTATAATTTATTTGATCTCCGTGTTCTTTGTATGGTTAAATCTGTCTGCAAGTTACCATTTTGCCTATAAGTCATTGTAATGAGTGCCCTTTTTATCCTTTGCTTCTCTTTTGATGAATGTGACTACATTTTTTTTTTCAATCGATGCTGTAAACTCAATGAGGATAACCTCTGTATAACCATTTGATATCTAATTCTGTTCTTCTTTGTCTGTCGGTCGTTAGGTTAGTTTGCATTAGGTAGAAGTCTAGGAATTATAGCTCTTTCTGTGTTGCTGTAACTGGGAGGGGCTTTTCCTGCTATGCATTTTATGTAGTGCGTTCATATTATTAAAAAGAAAGATATGCTTTGAGGTAAAAAGGACAAACAGCAATAACAAACAAAAAATGAGTACGATTAAATTGAAAAAAAAGAAAAAAAAAACAAGTTGCTTGAATGATTAAACACTACCAGTTTTGTCCCTCTTCGTGAATTACCAACTTATCTTTTAGGTGTAGAACATGGATTTTGAAGGAGATTTCACCAAGTCTATGTTTGTCTCCGCTGCCATTGGCAGATGGCAGCTTAGAGGTCTCCAAATTTCATGATTGAGATGAATGTGTTTGATCCACTTGTGCAAACACAAAGATCAGAATAAATTACGTGTGGTCAAAGGAAATGTTTCCTCAAAAAGTCGGGACAGTGATGATTATACTTGTACGGCTTCTGCCTTTAGGGAGATAGGACTGTTGAGAAGTTCAAGGCAAAGAAACCGGTGGGCAAAGGAAGGAAGTGATCATATAATATAGCTAAAGAAATGTACATGCTATGTTAGCTTTTTATTGGAATGTTGGGCGCTCAAGAAATAACTAGATTACTAGAGCTTAAATTTCACCAAAAATTTCAACATTTCTTTCTGGTTTCAGCTGCCCCTGAAATGAAGAATTTGGTATGTTTAAGGATCTAACTGAAATTAGAAAGACTTAAATAGATTTAGATAATGAAAGTAGAAGAAATGGGAAATAATTAGGTTGAGAAGAGATAAAAAAGGAACAGAAAGTGACAAAATAAACACAATACGAACATTTTCTAGCATTTTTTTTTTTGTTTTTGCAATTTGTCTGGAATCTTGGCAGTTTTTATTTTTTATTTTTAAATCATTTTTGTGGAGGTCGATACTCATTGAAAAGCCAAAATTTAATTCCTTGGAAATAATAACACATCTTTACAATTAGCATAACTGAAATAAGAACAATGAAATTCTTGGGAACCCAATAGTGGCCTTACTTGCACAATATAATAGAAAGTCAATACTTTTGTTTAGCCATGCCTATTGAAGACCAATGACTGCACCAGTGAAAAAGTATTGATTTTGACCAATAAATGAGCTATGGAAGCAGCAGTACACAACCAAAAAAAGGTGGATTGAACTTGTTAGTAACGACCTGAGGAAATAATGTGAACTTTTGCCCTACATAGAGCAGAATGGTGGAATGATCCATTGAGCCAACCCTACGTAGTTGGCACATGGGTGAGTTGAGCCGCATATCAAACTTCTTTTCAAGTGACATCTGTTCAAGAGACTATGGTCTTTTAGAGGCTATGGCAAAGTTCCTTTAAACCATTGAGAACCTAGAAAGTTATCTTCTACAGATTGTGTACAAGTCAAATATTTAGGCAAAAAAGTTGAAAATTAAAAAGGAAATTGCAGGGAAATGAGTTTTAAAGTGAACCAAGTACAATCAATTTCATTAGGCCATTACCCACTTCAGCTATCTGGGGTGGTCTTGGGAGGGGTAGACTGGATACAGTCCTAACCTTTGGCATTTTTTGCACAAAGCTCTCAGACTTGAACTCATGTTCTCACACTTGACAGCCCAAGATTTTATAATTACACCAAGTAATGGGCCCTAAGTACAATTGTTTTCATGTTTGATCCAATACATACTATAGGAACAGCTTCCACCTACAAGTGAGGAAATTTTTAGTAGTCAATCAAAGGAACTATGTTCAGGTATTTTATCCGAATAGAATTGAGCTTTTGCTTTCATTTGTAGAGAATATTACTCTGAATCTTTCATTTTTTTCCCATTTGGTTTCATTTCCATTGTAATTTTCATATTTCTCAGATTAAGTCAATAAATCTTATGCATAATTTGGGAAATTTTATTTGTAATTCTGATTTAAATGGTCACTACTCACACATTTGAGATGCATTTTCATGGAACTACTTTTAGGGTTCAATCTATCACTGCAAAATGACATGCAGATTATATTTGTACTGCATCATAACCAATTTGACTTTTCAACTTTCATGACTTGAAACACTATAGCTAGGAAGTTATAATGACCTGGTTCACTTGGGCACAGTACCTGATGCAAGTGGTCCAAGCCAACAACCCATGATTGGCAGCATGATGTGAAGACCATCGTGTTGGCAACAACAAACTTAGAATGAGACATCTATTACTCACCCCACAAGAAAGGGTCATCTATTGATAGAAGGCCAGGAATTTCTCATATTAATTGAGCTGGTAACCTTTTCTGCATTCTGCTCAAGTGTTGATCTTATTTTCAGGATAGTCTCAGTGGTGGTTTAGAAAATGTGAATAAGTGTTAAAAGGAAAATAGTTCGATTCTAATTCATAGGGTTCACATTTTTAAAATGTGGTAAGTAAAATGTATCAAGAGTTCTAAATGAGTAAAATTTTATTTTCACTGTAATAGTAATAGGTTAGCACTATGTTTTCTTTTAGTAGATTCTTGTGTCTATAGATTATATGAATTGAACTAGATGTCTTGAGGTGGTGAATGTTTCTGACTCTGTTGGAGGGTGTTATACCAATTATTCTTGTTGACTTAATTGCTTTAAAATTTCATTCTTTATTGTGTTGTGCTAATATTATGATCTGATAAAATCTTGATACATTGTGTGGTGTCTATTTCATCTTTTTCATTATTGTGATTGAATGGCCCCTCAATATGCTATTGTTGCTCCAAATTTACTGAATGTCATTTAGAGGGTGTTTTTTCATGAAATGTTTTTGCCTTGATAATCATTAAAGTGATATTGGATTATGTGCACATTTTTTATCATTTGTTCAAGCCAGTTAGGCACCACATAGACAAAAAGGTAAAAACAGTAACACCATTGCAAGAATAAGCAAAATAATGTTTCTTGCAATGCTAGCTCCCACATAAACCAAAGTGTTTAAAGTAGGTGTTTATTTTTATAAACAGCCCAACCAAACAGAAAAGGTTGGTGTTAAAACCACCATGCTTACTTGGTGCTGATGTGGAGAATTTATAAAAATAAACGCCCATGGTTCCAAACACCTACTTGGCCATGTCTTTTGCAGCATTTCTACTCTTGGCATGATTTTTTTGCATGGATGAATGGATTATGTTCAGTCTCTTCCATTGACCTTATGTACGTATCTTCCACTCACCTCATGCAACATCAATGGTAACTTTAATTGAAGAGCAAAAAAGGGGGGGGGGGCATGTACACGAAGGATGTACAAAAAAGCATAAGACCAATAGAACTTACATTAGAAGAGTATTTGCACTATACAAAAGAAAAAAGAAATCCTTTCCACCCCTGATTTTGCAGGAGAATCAGGCACAAAGTTAAAAGCCCTTGGAGTCTACCTATAAAAACCAGTGTTTTAAAAGGCATGGGAGGCGTATGCCAGAGGTGCTGACACCTCTGAGGCGTATGCCTCATACGCTTTTTTCATGAGGCGTGCTAGAGGCATATGCCTCATGTGCCTCATGCACACCCCATGTAAAAAGATAGAAAAGAACAAAGAAAAAGGAAAAAAAGGAAAGGAAAGAAAAAGAAAGAAAAGAAAAGAAAAGAAAAAGAAAGAAAAGAAAAGAAAAGAAAAAAACTTTCGACCCCCCTCCTCTTAAGTAGGCTTATGCCTCTTTGTGTTCGGGAGGCTTACACCTCTTATGTTCTGAACTATGCCTCACGCCTCTAGGTAGTGGAACGCCTCGTGTCACGCCTCTGCGTTTTAAAATATTGATAAAAACTACCCAACTCTGCTGATATCTTCTGGATCTCATTCAGAAAATGATCAAGTTCCAAGGATAACCCTCATTCCTTGCAGCCCAGTTAATAACATTTCTTAATTTACCCTGAATCTGCAGATGTCTGGCTTGGATTGATCTTGCAGCCCTTAAACCCATCAGAAGGTCTCTAACTTCTGCTTCAGAAACATCGGCCTCACCTATAGGACCAGTGAAAACCCCAGAGCAGATTATCATTAGCATCTAAAATATGGGCCCAATTCCAGCATGTTCCTGACTGCCATTACTGCCTCTACAGCTACCATCAAATTTCAAACAGAAGTCACAAGCAGGCTATGGATCAAAGGAGAGATGAGGCTGAGGGTCCACCCTAGAAGTGTGCAGCAACTAAACAAAATTTCTGCTCAGCTGATCAGAGCTGATGCCTCTAAATTGAGGGCTGGACAGAATCCAAGAGGAAGAAAGATGCAAAACATTCTATTTGCTATTATCCACATGAGGAAGACTGATTATTGAAAATTATTTTATTTTGTTCCTCCCAAATACACTGCATGACAGTGTGAGGAAATACTCTCCAAAAGATTTTGTCTCTCCTTCCTAAATGGCAACTTGCCCATTGCAAAATAAAATCAATTACCCTATTGTCCCACAGATAGCTGCTGCATGAAGGATAATTGCCAAAGCCTGCAAGCTACAGGACAATTGATGAGGAGGTGGCCAATTGATTCCCCATCTTAAAGCACATAACACATACATGAGGGGAGATATAAAGGTTGCAACTTCTTTTCATTTGAATGTTGTCACGGGTATCTATCCTTTCACTAACCACCTCCCAGATAAAGAAGGAAGCCATGGAACGAACAGACTCAATCCACCAAATTTGGTATTATAGTGAAAGAGACAGAAGTAGGGGGCCTAAACCACAATCATTCAATTTTGATGGTAAATGTGCCAGCTTTAATGCTTGACCTAAT